GCAGCTGCTCCAGATTGGGGGTGGGACACAGGGAGGAACCGCGGCATTAACGCACCGCTGTTTGGGGCCATGCGGGGGCTGGGCTTGTCAGAGACGCTGTGTGTGTGTGGGTGGGCTTTTGTAATTGGGTGGGTTGGAGGGTTTTAAATGTATTTTATTAGATTGTTTCAATGGATTCATGCCTGGCTGCTACTATGGGGTCCCCTGGGAAGCGCGTGGGTGCCACCATTGGGGTAGTTTTGGGCAATGGTCGGTATGGCATTGGAGGTTTAACGTGTCGGCACAGATGGTTGACACCTGTTCCCCCTTCGGGTTATTCCCCCAACCAGAAGGTTCCAGGTATGCTTATCAACTGCCCCTCGGGCCTGATGGTGCTGTTGCTTAATGACAGGTCGGTCCATAACAAAACATCCCTCATCCACGACTTAACTGTGGATGAGGGGGCCGACCTGGCTTGCATTACAGAGACCTGGGTGGGAGAGGTGGGGGATGTGTCCCTCTCTCAACTGTGCCCGCCTGGGTATCTGGTCCAGCACCAGCCATGCCCGGAGAGAAGGGGAGGGGGAGTCGCTTTAATTTATCGAGCTTCAATTTCCCTTGCAGGGCTTCCTGTTCTCTCGAGACCAGGTCTAGGGTGCCTTTACCTGGCGTTGGGCGACTGAGACAGATTGGGGACTCTGCTGGTGTACCGTGCACCCTTCTGCCCATCAGACTCCCTGCCTGAGCTGACGAAGATCGTCTCGGACCTGGTGTTGAAGACCCCCAGGATGTTGGTCCTGGGGGACTTCAATTTCCATGCCAAGACTGTTCTGACCGGGGCAGCTCAGGACTTCACGGCCTCCATGACGGCCATGAGGCTGTCTCAACATGTCTTAGGACCGACCCATGAACATGGACACACGCTGGACCTGGTTTTCTCAATGGGACAGGAAGAGGATGATCTGCGGGTGAGCAATTTGTGTTTGACTCGTCATGGTCAGATCACTTCCTCGTGAGGTTTGAGCTCGATGCCGGCCTTTTCCTCTGTAAGGGTGCAGACCCTATTGTGTTGGTCCGCCCTCAGAGCCGGATGGATCCGAATGGATTCCTGAAGGCTCTGGGGGAGTTTCCGGTTGATAAAGCTAGTGCTCCTGTTGATGCTCTGGTTGAACTGTGGAATGGGGAAATAGCCAGAGCTACTGACATGATTGCTCCTAAGCATCCTCTCCCGTCCAGCAGAGCCCGTTCATCCCCATGGTGTACACCTGAACTACGGGCGATAAAGTGGGTTGGAAGACGTCTAGAGCATAGGTGGAGGAAATCACGAGATGAATCTGACTGAGCACTCTCATGAGCTCATTATCAAGCCTATGCTGTGGCGGTGAGGGCGGTGAAGAAGAAATTCTTCTCCACTTCCACTGCCTCCTCACAGTGCCATTCAGCAGAGCTCTTTCAAGTGGTACATGGGCTGCTACATCCTGGCCCTAAGAAAGATCCCATACCACCCTCGATGTCCCACTGTGATGACTTTGCCCAGCAATTTAGGGAGAAAATCGTTCAGATTTGTCATGAGCTGGGCTCCACAAGCGATTCAGATCCTCTAGGGGAGGTGCCAATGACTCCGTCCAGTCAGATAATATTGGATGAATTTCATTTATTGCAGCCTGATGCTGTGGACAAGGTGCTTGGACAAGTACATCCCACCACCTGTTTACTTGACCCTTGCCCGTCGTGACTGCTGACCAAAGCCAAACACGGGATTGGTGCCTGGATCCTGAAGGTCATTAATGCCTCTCTGAGGGACAGCCGGGTGCCTGCTGCTCTAAAGGAGGCAGTAGTCAGGCTGGTCCTAAAGAAGGCGTCCCTGGATCCAGAGATGGCCGCCAATGATAGACCGGTGGCCAACATCCCATTTTTGGGCAAGGTGTTGGAACGGGTGGTGGCAGGACAACTCCAAGCACTCTTGGATGAGACTATCTGGACCCATTTCAGTCCGGCTTCAGACCCGGGTATGGTACTGAATCTGCCTTGGTCGCCCTGTATGATGACCTGTGCAGGGAGAGAGACAGGGGGAGTGCGTCCCTGTTGGTCCTCCTGGACCTCTCAACGGCTTTCGATACCATTGACCATGGTATCCTTCCGGATAGGCTAGCGGGAGTGGGAGTAGGAGGCACTGCTTGGCAGTGGTTCCGCTCCTACCTTGAAGGCCGATTCCAGAAGGTGGTGCTGCAGACATTGGCTCTGCGCCATGGCAGTTATGCCATGTAGTACCACAGGGGTCCATTTTGTCCCCCTTGCTATTCAACATCTACATGAAACTGCTGGGAGAGGTCATTAGGAGGTGTGGGCTGCGGAATCATCAGTATGCTGATGATACCCAGCTGTACCTCTCTTTTTCAACCGATCCAGGTGGGGCAGTGGCTGTACTGAACTGGTGCCTGGCCGAGGTATTTATTTATTTATTTAGACAGCTTACATGCCGCTCCCTTCACATAAGGTAATAGGCTGGATGAGGGCCAATAAACTGAACCTCCTGTTGGTGGGTAGTTCGAGCTCCTGGGTAGGTGACTTGGACCTTGTCCTGAATGGGATTGCACTCCTTTTAAAAGACAGGGTCCGGAGCTTGGGAGTGCTCCTCGACCTAGAGCTGTCCCTGGAAGCTCAGGTGACTGCAGTGGCGAGGAGTGCTTTCTTTCAGCTTCGGTTAATCCATAAGCTGCGTCCCTACCTGGAGGACGATTGCCTAGCGACAGTGACACATGCATTGGTTACTTCCTGGTTGGATTTCTGGAATGCGCTCTATGTGGGGCTGCCCTTGAAGACAGTCCGGATACTTCAGATGGTGCAAAACAGAGCAGCCAGGTTGCTGACGGGGACTGGGCATTATTCTCATATAACACCAGTCCTCTACCAGCTTCACTGGCTTCCCATCTAAGTCCGGGCTCAATTCAAGGTGCTGGTTATTACCTATAAAGCCCTTAACAGCTTGGGACCTGGATACCTAAAGGAACACCTTCTTCCATATTTGCTCTCCCGCCCCCTGAGATCAGCAGCAGAAACCCTCCTCCGGGAACCCTCCGTGAAAGACATTAGGAGACAAAGTACCCGGAGGAGGGCTTTCTCTGTGGTGGCGCCCTGCCTATGGAATGCACTCCCCAGAGAGGTCCACCTGGCGCTGTCGATATTTGTTTTCGGCGCCAGGCTAAGACCTTTTTATTTCAACAATATTTTAATAACTTTTAATATCAGCTATATAGGTTTTAATCTGCAGCCAGGGTGGATCTGGATTTTATTTGTATTATGATTTATTCTATTCTTATTTATGTAAGCCTTCCTGAGGCTCTGCAAAAGGACGGCATACAAATATTCTAAATAAATAAATAATAAACTGGAAGTACTGGGCAAACCATCTGACTTGGGCTTAGGAATGCAACCTGTTTTTGAGTCCTAAGAGATGGAGTCTGCAGATTTATTTATTTAAAACTTTTGTATGCCGTCACATGTCTTGGCATCTCGGAACGGCTTACAACGTAGAATTAAAACAATAAAACAGTATCAAGTACAGTAAAATTATATAAAAACAAAAACAAAAAACAAAAAGTGACTGTTATCGATAAAATTAATTTTTTTAAAAGCCATTAAATAAAAATGTTTTAACCTGGCAGCAAAAAGAATACAGACTTGGCACCAGGCATACCTCTCCAGGGAGTGCATTCCATAACCTGGGTGCCACCGGAGAGAAGGCCCTGCTCCGGGTAGTTGTTCTTTTTATCTCCTTTAAAGAGGGCTCCCGGAGCAAAGCCTCTCCCGCAGATCTTAAGGGGCATGAGGGCATGTAAGGGAAAAGGTGCTCCTTCAGGTATCCTGGCCCCAAGCCGTTCAGGGCTTTACAGGTTAAAATCACCACCTTGAATTGGGCCCAGACTTCAGCTGGGAGCCAGTGGAGCTGATAGAAGACCAGTGTTATGTGAAAGTATCAGCCGGTCCCCATCAGCAGCCTGGCAGCTCTGTTCTGTACCAGCTGAAGTATCTGGACCGTTTTCAAGGGCAGATCACAGGTATTACTTCACACAGCATTTTAGCTGGATGTGCAGGTGGTGTCATGGATGCAGAGCATCCTTTTTTGCTTCTCTGGCTAATAACACAACTAAAGCTAAACCTGATGAAAGAGAACTTCACTACAGCCATTCATGCCTTGATTATCCCCAACATATAATGCGCTCTGTATGACAGCACCTTTGCAAAGTGTTCAGGAACTGCAGCTAGTGCAAAATGCTGGCACCAAAGTTTTGACTGGGATGAGGAGCTAGGCAGGTTGCTAACTGAAGTTCTTTGAGTCCTCATGTATGGATTTGCACATACAGGCTCTGCCTATGCTCTTGTGTCTGTTCAGGAAGTTTCTACAGCTAAGAGAGTTTTGGCAGGAACTTCAAACTCTTCAAACTACCACCCTCAGTGTTAGTATATTAGAGGGGTTCCCACCCTTTTTGTTCACTCAAAACTGCCCTTTTGGCCTCTGGATAGAGGGAGTTACCAACAGACCAACCTTAGCATTGGTTGAAACTGTGTATCAAGAAATGTTGTCACTATTTGACACCAAAGCAGGGATGCTGAGTGAAGTTTGATTGATTGTTTTTTAAGGACAGGAGATCAGTGGAGCAAAAAAGAAAAAGAATGAAGAGTCATAAGGACGAGAAAAAAGGGCAAAAAAAAAGTGCCCAAAAAAGCAAGAGAAAAATTGCAAAAATTGCAAGCTAGTAAACACACATGGACAAACATAGATAAAGATATACACAATGTATTGGACTGATACTTATTACTAGTATTTTTTCTAAGTGGCCAAACATTTAAAACTCATCCTGGTTTTAAAGGGATTCTCATTCACCTCCTGGCCACTTCCACTGTGCAATCTGCATTCATTTCAGTGTGCTTTGCACCTGTGGTGTTTTGGTATATATTTGCCATGTGGAGGATGAAGACAGCAAATACACAGAGCAATCAAAGTTAGTTTCTCAACTTACCAAAAATATTCTTTCAAGTTGATCTTGAATGTCTTTCATTCCTGGAAAAGCAGCTACTCCTTGAATCATTTCTACAAAGATACAACCAACTCCCCTGAAAAACAAAAATTCAATTCGATTCAAATTCGGGGGAAAATACTCTTTTATTAAAATTGGTACATAACCTGTGGAACATTGCACTAATACTGAAAACATTCTTGGCTGAAAATATGCAGAGAATATTTGGAATTGCTCTTTAGAAAATAGCTTGTTTCAGTGTAGACACTACAATCACAGTGGATTTTTTTAAAAAGGTACCAACCTCCAAGATCTGTAAGAATCACTCATGCTTAGCAATACATTTGATTTGGCTTTGGCTAGATTTAGATGTAGTTATTTTTAATGCATATTGAAATTTTATCAAATGTAGTTTCCAAAAGCATCAATTGCTTAAGATATTTGAGGATACTGAAATTATTCTCTGTACCTGGAACATATGGAAGCAACAGAATTGATGAAGCAACTGAATTGATGAAGCTGCCATTCATTGCCAACTTCATTACGCCCACTATATTTTAGCCAATAGTTATACCCCGAATAGAACGATGTATGTATAAAAACAGTATTTTATTTTAAGGCAAATGCTTTAAATATTGTCTGTGCACATAACTAATTGAACTATTACATTGACAGGCATTCAGTGATAATGGGAACCATTATAGCACAGTGGTTTAAGTAGCAGACTGGGAGTCAAGAGATCTGGGTTCTACTCCCTACTCAGCCATCCAGCTCATTGGTAACACCAGGCCAGCCACAGACTCTCAGACTAACCCAAGTGGCTACAGGAAACAGGTATAACTGATTATAATAAGAAACCTTGAAAAACTTTCTTAACCTTGCATATTAATTGAACAATTAAGCTCTTGGAGCATAGCTAACTTGGCTATGTGCATTTAATATGAAGCATAGCTCTTGCAAACCTCTGTTCAGAGAACACTGATTGGTGGGGGAGAGGGGATCAAGATATTTGTGGTTGTTCCACTTTCATGGGAATCCTGTGCCCCTAACCCCTGTGAACGTGGAGGGCTGACTATACATGATCTGCCTTGCATACACATTTGACTTAAAGGATAATTTCCAATTTTTTTCCCCAGAAACAGGACTTGTTCATAACTGCTACCTTTACTGACATTTTCTCTCTTTATACACACACACAAATAAAAACAAGCCTATTTGTTCCCATAGACTTTTGCCATCAATATCCCTCCCTACTGTGCCGCATTTCCCTTTCCTCTGTTTCATGCTCTTTTAAAATGACAGTTTGTAGGCAGACCACTGTTCTTGTACGATGGGCACTTTTTGAATAATAAATTTTAGTACGAAATGCTTGCTAGCAGTGGATAGGCTAAGCATTGCTTTTACAAATTGCCTGTCAGGTATCTAACCAACCTGAAAATGAAATAAAGTAGTATCTGTGCTTACAGAAGAAACAAGACAGAGGCATATGTATATGACCAAGAGACACTTTTGTACACTGGAATTAAGAGCTGTTAAATACACTTACTCGGACCACTGACACCTGGTAAGTTCTTATCTGTTAGCACCAAGTCGTAGCTGTCCTAATGGAATGCTGCAAGCTGAACAGCAGCTCTATGAATAGTCTACATGGACACAGCCTTTCTGCACAGTAGCTAGAATGACTGCACGGTTTTAACAATGCTATAGAAGAGGCCCCCAAATCATGTTGGAACTTCAGCTATAATGCAACAGATGAATGATACAATCATTTGCATGCCATGCAATGATGGTTGCAAATGACAATCAAAAACCTCCTATGCAAAAATGTCCAATTCATGAAGGATTCAGAGATCACTGTTTCAACTTTATGACTTATGTTAAGCTCAGTTCCAAGTGCATCTTATCATGTCATAATTACAAATACAATCATGAAATGGGGGGAAATGTACAGTTTAACAAATACTGTTGCCACATTTCTTCCTACACATGCTATATAAAAGCTGCCATGAGCTTCCTCCTAGATGCTAGTATATAATCCTGTGTAAAAGAGGTAAGAAAACTTTTTTTAAAGTAATAACAAAGTAGTGAATGCCATTGGCTACAGGCCTATTAAAGCTTTCATGAGATAATTGATCAAGACAAAAACTGTGCTGGAAAAAAAATAAAAAAATCAATTATTGGATTTAGTAAATCAATTAGGAAAAAGAACCATTATCCAGAGTGTATTTATGCAATTTCCAGATCTCAGTTATATGTAAAGTCTTTCAGAAAATTTTACATTAGAAAAAATGTTTGAAAAGCTAAAGTACACTTTTAAAAAGGAATAACCATTTAAGTTTACATTAATAATAATGCAGCAGATAATTTCTGAAAGGAGATTTTGATAGGTGTTAAAGGCTTTATCAGTTAAGAAACACAACTATAATTAAGTTAAAGAATTATAATCTAGAATTAACATATTAAAGATAACACTAATTAAACAGATCTAAACAGTCCTATAAAGCTAAAGGAGACTATTGTCACAATCTCTTTGAAGAAATATAACCTCAAGAACAAGATAGTCCAATAGAATCTTAAAAAGATTCTAGATGAAGGGAATAAATGATATTTTAATCAGTATGTTATGTGATACTTGGAAAATTGCTAGTAGAGGTAAAAAACAAACAAACCCAGAAGAGATAAATACATGTTGTTTCCATGTCTTTTAACATCAATGATTTAACCTCAAACAATTGCAAAACCCAGGAGCTCAAGTATTTTACTTAAGAACATAATAAATAATGCATAATAATAACCTAAATACAGAAAACTTATAGACACTATAGTGATATACTGATGTGGCCTTATGTTGCACAATGTAGCCAATATACTTTTCCATTGTATGCTGACAATAGTAAATTGCAGCACATTTCACACTGATTGCCATTGCTGGGTGCTACAACTAATGAATATATATCTTCATTAATATTCTTAAATTGCCAGTGGCTATTTGCAGAGAAGACTGGAGAATGTTAATACTGTACATGAATCATTAGCTTTTGGTTACTCTCCCAGTGCCCTCCAATGACAAATGAAGTGTATAAATAGCTTTCAGCCACTGCCACCTGCTATCCAGACACTGTCCAATGGTTAATATTTGTATTCATTCTCCGTTGCTGCCTACTCTTCAGTTCCTTAAAATATAAAACTAGAAGTCATTCACTATAGGTGGGGAAGAATGCTACCCAGCCGTCTGTGGCCTTTATTTCATTTTCAAACTGTTAAGGCTTTCTGGGCAGTTAACAAATGTAAAACAACAACAACAACCCACATACACGAAGACACAAAGCGATTCCAGTTGAATAGTAGTGGGACAGATTAAAATGCAATATAGACAAATGAAGTTAAAAAGTTTATCTATCTATCTATCTATCTATCTATCTATCTATCTATCTATCAATCATCTAAAACTTTTCTATACCATCCCATCACAGATGTCTCAGGACAGTTTACAACATGCTGGAAGAATGAAAAGATCGTCACCTGGCTCCAAAAATAATATGGTGCCAGGTGCACCTCTTGGGGGCGCTCATTCCACAACTGGGGTGCCACAACCAGAAAGGCTTTCCTTCAGGTCGCCACCTACCTCACTTCCTTTGGAAACGTCTCCCAGAGAAGGGCCCCCAAAGATGGCCTCCAGGTCCAGGAAGGTACATACAGGATAATGAAAGCCTTCAGATAACCTGCCCCCAAGTTGTTAGGGCTTTGAATGCTAGTACTGGCACTCTGAATTGGGCCTGAACCTCAGCTGAAAGCCAGTGCAGCTGGAAGAGAACTGGCATAAAATAATATGTTCTCAAGAGCCAGTCCCCATTAACAGTCTAGCTGCCCTGGTTTGGATCAGTTAAAGTTTCTGGACCATTTTCAAAGGCAGACCCATGTACAGCACATTGCAGTAATCCAAATGAGAGCATGGATAACTTTAGCTAGGTTCTTTTCATCTGGATAGGGTTGTAGTTGGTATATTAGCTTAAGCTGATAAAAGTGCTCTGTGCCACTGAATCTACCTATGCCTCAAGCGACAATTCTGTGTCCAGCAGCATCCCCAAGCAATGAACCTTGTCCTTTAGGGAGAGCGCAACCCCAGGCAGAACAGGTTGAGTATGACCCTGGTTGCAACCAACACACACTGCACATGCCTCTACAACACATTAAGTGCACTGAGATTTTCACATGGCATGCCTGGCTGCCGGGATCCAGGCTAGAACCAGGTGGTTAGAACCAGTGCGACCACCGCCATATTCACAGAATTGGTCCCACACTCTGGTGGACCCTCAGACTCCTGATGAGTGTCAGCTGGGAGTCCTGGGGGAAGAGCAAGCCCTTTCCTCCAGAAATGGCCTCAGCAGCCCAGGTCCTCCAGTTGGCTGCTGTTATGTTTCCTGCTCCTGGCTCCTGCTGTGTCCCCTGCATCTTGCTGTGTATTCTGCCTTGCCATGTTGCCTCCCTCAGCAGTGCAGGTCCGCCTGTAGCTGTAAGTGCCTGCTTCTTGCCTGACTGCCCCTGGCCCCTGCTCCTAGGTTCCTGCTGTGTATCCTACTTTGTCATATTGCCTCAGCAATTCATGTTCAGCTACTCCATCTGCCTGGCCTTTGTGGCATTTGCTTCTGGTTGTCTCCTGCATTCCTTTTAGCATGTATCTTGACTCAAGTGTCTGCGACTTGCCTGATGCTTGCCATGTCTCCTGCCCCGTTATCTTGTTCATCCCTGGTTTCTCCTCCTGGCTCTTGACCCTGACCATGTTCTTGTTCTACCCTGATGCATATTCCTGGCTCCTGATGCCAGCCTGTAACATCACTATGATTTGGGCTTGCCATTAAATTTTTCCTTTGAACTCTGTCTTGCCTGAAATTCTGTTGCCCTGGTCCTAATGCTTCTGTTGTTCTGCCTTGTCTCATGTCTGAGCCTCAGACTCTGACACTGGCATGATTTCCTTCATACTGAAAACTATTAGAAGGTTCTGTAAAACCCTCTCCCCCAACCTGGTTCCTTCCAGATAGTTTAAACTACAAATTGTAACATTCCTAACCAGTAGTTATGGTAGGTTGGAGTGACAGAAGTTGGAGTTCAAAACATCTGGAGCACACCCAGTAGGTGCAGGTTGCTCCACTGAGTATTATTTTACTTGCTACTTAAGTTATACCCATTTCAGCTATTTGTTTAAACTGTGTCATTTTAATTGTTAGCTACCTTGAATTAAATGCATGAAAGAAATATTCAGACACAGATACATACTGACCTCCTTCACATGATCACAGGGTGATTAATAAGCCACATGCTGCCTGATTTAACCAGTCCACGGTTTCAGTCAGCAGAACCCTACATGATTATATTACACAAATACACATGTTGTTGGCAACATAATGATCTCAATACCAAAGTTCAACATTAAGCAAATCTTACAGGCAAAACTAAATTCAGAGAGATACTTTTAAAGCATCTTATATATTTTAAAAGTCAAGACATGGAATACTATCCTAAGTATATTACGAAGAACAGAGTCTGTTAAAATGAAAGGACAACTCTAAATTAAATTTAGTATCCAGGTATTAATGTTAGATATAGCCAACATACACACTTTGCTCTGCTTGACAACTGAGACAACCAGAAAAGAAAGACTTTTCATCTGCCATCTATTTGATCTGTCTGCTCTTGAGTGCAGCCTCAACTTGATTGCTCAGTATTTTCCAGAAGATGAATTATTTGTCATTTTGGTGGATTCATATATTTGATGGATGCAATCAGTATTGCCTCATTTTTCACCTGGAACAAAGCATTTCTCTTGAAAAGCACCCTGTATATCTTTTTGACTTGTGTTAAAGGTCCTATATCATGGGACATCAATATTTCATGTCCATTATTAAAGACATTCTTTTTATGTCCTCCAGCTAGGACCAGTTTTCACCTTGCCCATGGTAATACATGGTAGCAAAAGGCTGTGATTGGTGTTGATAATCTGCCTCACTATAGATCTTGTTTTACGAATATATTTATCTTGTACTACTTAGAGCATCTTTATGAACTGTTTTACAAATAAGGCCTCCTTCATCTTGGGACAAAGCACAACCTTTGCATTCATATGATAAAAAATTAATTTAGCTGCCATTTTATCAGAATACTGTTACATAGGCAAATATGCCAAATATTTCATATCTTTTGCTTCCATTTCAAAAGGATATCATGAATGTAAAATCAGATTTCATTTATTACATGCAAACAAACAGTTCACATTCCTAACAAAAACTTCTGTGATTAAACACTATTCCATTTATCTAGACAGCAAAAGCTAGTCCAATTTTAATAGCAAAACAGTAGAACAAATGAAGAATGCAGAACTTCCTCACATCTTCAGCTTACCTCTCAGTCACTTTGTTCCTCAGCTGAGCTCCAATACCAGAAGTGTTGTCAGTTGTGATACAAGTGCTTGTACAGAGGTTTGGGAAGCTAAGCATTAAACAAGATGGGGTTCAGCATCTCTTACTCATATGTCCCCTTTTGTCCCCTCCCTTTCAGAACACTTACTGCTATGTTTACTGAGGTTTCCTGATGATTTAAAAAACTTCCAATATATAAATATTGAATTTATATATTTCTGTAATGCTTTTATAAATTTTAAGGAAACACAGTAATACAGCACTAAACATTCTGAAAAGGAGAAAAATTCTGGTCCACTGTGTTGCTGCAGTGGACCAGCAAAAAATAAAAAAAAGCTCAACTTCCAAGGGCTGAAAATAGAATTTAAAATGGTGGTGAATACAAAGGGATAGCTATTGCAGTAGGAAGGAATAGACAAGGTGAGTTCAACTCTATAGGATACCAGCTGAAGGACTGAGGCTGAAGGAGAGGCAGACCAAGCCACAGTGAATCGTATTATCTCATTGGTGCATCATGAATAGTTCAGCAAACAAATAATCCAGGGTAAGCTAAGAGTGATGTGCAAACTCACACAGTGTCTGGAAATTCAAGTATGTAAACATAGTATCTTGTACTGTGTGTCTTTCAGAGCAAAACATGTCTCTTCCAAAGTAAACCCCACAGAATTCATTGGAACTTAATTCCTTCTGAAATGTGTGTAAGATTATAGCTTAACTTGTCAAACATGTCTTTCTCTAAACTAGTCAAAGTTAAAATAGCAAAATATATGCATTTTGTAAAAATACTGCATTCTTACCACATATCAAGGCAGGTGGAATATTCTGTTGAGCCTAAGAGGACATCTGGAGGTCTATACCACAAGGTAACAACTTCATTAGAGTATGTATGACTGGGAACAGATTTGGCTCTTGCAAGTCCTAAACAGCAAAGAAAAACACAAAGAAATAAGCATATAAAAACATAAGGACCACCTTAGATCTTTAAAAGGGCTGTTGCACATGTGACTGCTTGAAAGGCTAGAATTTGTTTTTTCTGGCTGTGTCTTAAGTTACAAAAAAATATCAATTTCTATCATTCAGCACATCACAAAACAAACTGGTGACTCAAAACAGCAAGGAACTGAATTACTACTTTTTGATAATGACAGGGTTGCCATGTGTTCATTTACGAACAGGACCTAAAGTTACACATTAAAAGAGGAGAAAGAATGTACTGGATGAATACCAGTGAATATAAAACTGAAACTCTTTAATCCTTAAACATTAAGAGCTAGAACAAATCTAGGTAGTGAGGTAAATAGCTCCAAGGAAAACATCACATCTTCATCTACATAAGAAAAAATGCTAAATAAATGTTTCAGACACATTCTATTTCATTGCATAAGACTAGAAAACCCAACATGTAATTTTCCACGAACCTTCTAATATTAAACATCCTTACTGTGGTATAACTGTTTCAGGGTAGCAGCTAGGCCAGGGGTCTCAAACTCAACTTACTTGGGGGCCAATGGAAGTAGAGTCTGGGTGAGGTCGGGCCGCATCAAGTATTCCACCACCGCAGTGGTGGTGGGCCGCTCATCCCGCAGCCGGCCTGGGCGCCGCCAGCACTTTGAAGGCCGCAGGGCCCCTCCCCCGTGCCCCACCCATCCCGACAATTGGCCCGCGGGCCGCGAGTTTAAGACCCCTGAGCTAGGCTGTTGAGGTTGGCTGTTGCAAGAAAACATATTCAACCATACTCACCTGTGAGACAGAATGAATAGCCTTGGGCAAGGCACTATATTGTATTAAACCTAGTTCAAAGGACTGCTAGGCAATAAAATTATCACTCTGTGCATCTCCAAGGAATACAGTTACCATTTCCTCTAACAGTGAATTAATATACTTGAGTGCTTATTAGCTGGAAACAAAACAGGGTCACCCCCCCCCCCAAAAAAGATAATGGGCTACCACACACTCAGGGGATTCCCTAGGTATACAGAAATGCACTCATTAAAAGTAAATAACATTTTAAAACATAAAACTACTGCCAGGAATCTAATGTAAAAATGAAGGTGCAGCTGTATTCTATCAGGGAGTGCGAACAGAAAAGAATCTAAATAACCCAGAAATCAGGCAACTATACCTGAATGGGGTACCACAGAGCATCAAAGGGGTATGTGATGGTACAATGCCGGACCCAATCCCAACCTTCCCATGCATGTTGGCCCTATCTTCTTAGACCATAGAAGGCAGGAGACTGACTTGCATGGGTCTGTTTCATTCTCATATTGGCAACACTCTGTAAGAGATTACCTCTCACTCTTTCATGTGCTTGCCTTGTTTTCAAAAGCCTATCCTAACCAGTGCAGAAGACTGCCAGGAGACTGCTGCAGCATAAACATTCCTTCGGCTCCTCCCCCATGCGTGCCACCTCTTGAAAATGAGGATAGAGTGTGTGCTAATCCAAAAATTACCTAAAAGGAGGCCATCATGAGTAAATTTCCACATTTCCAATTTTCATGGGTCCTGCCAAGGCAAATGAAGACATCACTTTTGGCAATAAATGGGGCTTTTGTGGTTGACACTCACAGCGACACTGTTGTTGATTTACAGAGCTTAAGGCTATGAATCACTCCTAAAAATGAGACCAAAACAGCCACACTTTGGGGAAAGGTTGCAAAAGGGAATTAAATTAAAATTGGTGTAAATTTGCTGAAACTGAAGCAATCATCTGTGATACGTCTAGCAGAAATGTGAAAAAATAGTTAAATATATTCTTGGGGAAAGCTCTGTTTATCAGTAGATCTAGCTATCTGTAGATCTCATCTTGCTTCTTCCTGCCCCAAGATAAACAACCAAGTAAAAAAACATAGAAATGGAATATTTCAGAAAGGTGCAATTACTATGTAATTATAAAGTCTGAGCCTCCATGTAAATTAGTTAGATACTGCCATGCATGTGTCCTGTCAAATTTCAGGGGAGCTCTTGGGAGCCTTCCTGTGCTGATTCAGATTACGCTGATGAGACTATTTATGAAATGGTTCAGACCCCAGCTGCAATTCAAGATCATGAGACCTAACGGGAAGTTCCAGTGTGGGAGATTCGCCCAAGGGTAGATGGGGGAACCAGTATACAGGGTTGAGGGAACAGGGAAATACTGCAGGGTGAGGGAGGGCAACTCACTGGAGAAAAGCCCAATTAGGATCACAAATGGAGGAGTCGATGAGGGCCTGTTTTCACAGTGGGGTGAGACACAGGTGGGTTCATAAAGAGAGCTCAGGGAAATAAACAATAGAAAGGGTTCAACACTTCACTTGTGTATGCTCAGAGGCTCAAATGTAACAATAAAGTTTATTAAACAAAGAAACACTGTTTAGGCTGATATTGCCTGGAACAAGAAGCTCAGCTCATAACAGATACCACACAGGACACAAACAAAGTATCAAATAATTGTTTAACTTTTTATTATTAACTGAAAAACTCCAAGGAAACTCAGCTTTGGATGTGATGTATAAGTTATAGCATTGGGATTTTTATAGCATTAGGTTTATTTGAGTGATAACCTAGACACTGTAACGTGTTTCATACTGTTTGTACATCCAAACATGCTTATTCATGCAAAATTTATCTAACTGCTTTCTCTGACTGAAGGAAAGCTGTAGGACAGGATTAATTAGCACAGCATGTGCAATCATTTTGTTTAAGGATTCCTTGTCTGTTTCCATGGTTACACCATAGGAAGCCATGCATTCACTCTTCTGAAAGACAGTACTGCTTGTTTTAGTGATCATCAGAACTTTTAATTTTAAGGGCTGGGTCAAAAATAAAGTCAAAAGTTAATAGGAAAGAAATCTAGGAGAGCGTGTAATATTTGCTCTCACTTTTGGTCTGAAAATTATATGGACAGCTTTATGTCAGTTGTGTGAACTGTTGTTCCGGCAGATAAAACTGTCACTAAAAAGGCACCCTGCTGCTATAGCTCAATTCTTTACAGTAACAAGATAACAATGAGGCAGTTGTTAGAAGTCAAGGCACATCACCTAATTGACAAGCCTATCAGAAACCCAACACAAATCCTCAACAAAATAATAGGTGAAGATGCTGTGCCATTTATGTTGTTTTGTATACTTCCTCAGTGCTATAAATGCTACACACAATGCATACTCAAGATCACTTAATGCCAATTATATATTTCTTAATACACTTTAACCAATCCTTTCTGCATACAATTGTGGAGAAATGCACTTTCAACAGCAGTTTACAAAATCAGCATTTATTCTAATCTGTGCTGATGAATACAAGGACAGAATGCCATGGGTACTCATTATCTAGCATTTATTAATTTAGAATACTTGACATCAACCTCTGTGTACTAAGTTTTCCACATTATGTAGTAACTGATGTCTGTTAAAAGAAAAATACAAACTACAATTATCTGAAACCCCTAATGATCCAAAAGTCAATGGATAGCCTCTTTTGTTCTCATCGTTGTAAATGTGCAGCTAATAAAGCTCAGATTACCCAAATGTTTTGAGTGGTTCCATCCTGTACACATAGAGATCAGAAAGGAAAACATTTATAGAAACCACCAGCACTGATCTTCCTGATCCAGTGAATATATGTTCCCAAATAACTTGATTTATAAATACTCAGACAAGGCTGAAGCCTGCACTTTGTAAATTGTGATGTAAGAAATGAACAAGGCTTCAAGAGGATAATTGTCTTGACCACTGCCTTAGGCCTTGACTTTGATAAGGGAATTGATCAGAAAAAGGAACTTTAGCATTTATAAACATATGTTCCAGATTGGGAATGTTCTGTCAATTTTTTACTCCAGAGGCGTTTCAAAAATTACATAAGTAGAATTATATCTCTAATTTGAAAAAATATGTCCTTAAAATATAAAGCCACACATGATGATACAATGCTCAGAGGCGCCATAACACCTGAGAACTATCTAATCTCTGTAAAGGACCAAGTATGAATGTGTACAGCTTAGTAGAATAGTAGGCAAACATGATGGCTATTAGAAATTCAACTGTTAATATACAGAACTAAAGACTCAAGGTGGCCAAAGGTTGAAATTGATGTAGTCAGGGTGGATTTGATTTAAGTCATGATTTAAATCACTGGTAAGACTAGATTTAAATCATGATTTTCTTCATAATTTGCATACATGCCTGCCTTACCCATAGGTAGAGGAACTTCATTAAAATATTCCCAAACTGGGTCTCTTTTACAGTCTGCTGCCATTATGTTTTCTTCTCCAGGGAAAGACTAATATGATAAACCACAAAAAGATCCAAAGACTTGTAAAATATTCTACTCAAAAGTGTTCTTTCATTTTTACTGCTTGCCCTTCCTTCCTCACACTTAGTTTCTTATGCAGATCTATTCCACTCTCAACAATCCTTTTCTATTCATTGATTTTTTTTTTTGAAACTTAGCACTTAAGTGGTATGGGGTTGATTAGGTGTACATAGATTTGTGAAGGAACAATGGGATTAAGGTCTTGTTCTCAACTCTGTTCATATTATAACATTTTTTCCTGTGAAGAAGAGGTATGTGATCTCTGCAGACATACATTCAGTTTTTGAGAACAGTGAAACAAAGCATCTGTGATAATACCTTCTTGACAGAAAAAGTGTATAATAATCTTGCAGAAATCTCTGGAACAGCATGATATTGTGAATGGATTAATATAATTCATTTACCAAAAATTGTAAACATTGCATGAATATGCAGCCTCATACTACACAATTAAAAACTAACCCTTATTTCATGATGAACCTTTGGGCTATAATGTATCTTAAATAGAAAATTATTTTTAGATAGAATTTTTTCCACAAAAAACATTTTTTTTTGAAAAACTAATTTAAATAAAAATATTGAATAAATTTTTTAAACCCTGTTTTTAATCCACCCTGATTGCAATGTAG